TATAGAAGATAGGAAGAAACCATTCCTCCTCCTCAAATGAGAACGAGTTTGGCACACATTTAAAGTGATTTGCAAACATAGCAAATGTGATATGATAAAAACATGCTTTCACATAATAAACGGTTAGGATCTGGAGTGCACAGACTGGAAGTATAGTGGAGGAAGAGTCAATTGATGTATTCCGAGGGCGTTGGAAGATATTTTGAGTAGAAACAATTTGCAAGGGTATTGGGAATTCAGTTATAATGCACATTTGAGAACCAGTGCAGACGCAATGGGCATGAAAGGCTTCATTCTGCGTTGCAATAGTTCTGTGAACTTTCCAGAATTGTAATTTCTATCGTGTGATTGGAACCCATTATATCTTAAACCAGTAATGTCTATATTAAAACTTAAAGAAAAAAAGTGGCTTTAAAAACATTTCTTTCTTCATGACATTTGGACGTAACAGTGCCATTAATCAGTAAGATTGAAAGATTATGAAATAAAGGCAAAAAGACAGTAAAGGAAGTTTGAAATTATATTGAGTGAATCCAACAGCAACTGCAGCAAGGTAAGTAAAGAAACAAAAATGATTGAATTAAGAGAGAAAAAAAAGACAGAAAGGAAAAATTGTTTAAAATAAATAATTTAATAAATTTAATCTGTCCAACGCCAACCACAAACCAAAGGAATGAAATACTTTTTAGCTATTTTTGAGTACTAGATGGGTTGTTTGGTATGAAATGACACTTACCATGTCTTTTTTTATCTCTTAGACTGAAGTTGCACAAATTTACTTTCCGTGGTGGGTTTATTTTCTTTTAGCAATCACTTAATAATCATAACTTCACACTGGTATGTCACACAAAGAACTTAAGCAACCATAATTATTCCAGAGACGCTTTTCTGATTTCCCAATCATTATTTCTTCTTCATTGAGTGACAGCAAGCAGGAGAGTCTGGTCTTGTAAACAGCAAATCCAGGCACATTTTATCACTGGTGAGGCTGTCTGTTAATCATAAAATAAATCAGTGGATAAAAATACATTCTGGCAGATGAGTGCCCCTTCTTGAGCCTCTTAAGTGCAGCTACCCAGTGAGACCATGGGATCAAGGCACTAAGGCTATTGTGCTGCACAAGACATGTTGTACCTATTCTACAACAGTGACTTTGCAAGGGAATTGACAACAGAAAAGCACTTTAGGGGCATCATGAGATCAGGAGAGGTGCAATCCAAATAACTTCCTTACTCCGCTAAAAACATTGAGATGCCCACTTTGGGCTAGAATTTCAGAATTATTTAAGCCACCACGAAGTGTGTTTAAAGGTCAATTACCTAGCAACAGATGTCACTGGCTGAATTTTCCCATTTTTTTTGGCAAAGTTACCACTTTACATGCTGCAAACCAGGAACTGTCCTTCACATTGTGGCCCTGCACCACTATCCCCAAAGAAAATGGCCCAAAAAGGCAGGTTAGCTACTTTTGAGTACAAGATAGGTTGTTTGGTATGAAATGACACTTACCATGTCTTTTAGATTTGGTGACAGCTACCTGGAGGTGCTGGTGGATCAAATGTTGAATAAAGGGCAGCGATATTTTTTTTTCCCTGCTGATCAGCAAAGGATGCCATGCCAGGACATTCAGCTATCCTGGGTCAAAATAAGAGCCTGCAGATGACACTCTCTCCTGCACTACTCCAAGTGTTCCCATCTTCTATTGTGTCTCACTTTTATATGTTGAGTTATACCCCTTCACAATTACTATCCTCTCCACATGCCTGTGTGCTGCCTCCAATCTCCATGCTTTCCTAGCTTGCCCATTACAACAGTAGCCCCCATCCCTTGATTTTTTAGTGTATAGACCCCACTGTGCTGACTGTAGCCCATTCTGTCACCAACTTGAACAGACAGCCCCTGATGAATGACCGGGCACCAGAATGTGCTCTGTGTAGTTTCACAAGTGACGTAACCCTACTTCCTGGGCTGGTTGCACAGCATCTACAGGACTGACTGTGGGGCAACTCACCGGACTACAATGATATCCACTCCCTGACCCCAATCAGAGCAAGCAGTTAACTGACTGTGTCGAAGCCCCGGATCGAGATGAGACAATGTACATTTTTAAAATTAATTCATTCACAGGGTGAGGGCGTTGGCATTTATTGCCCAGGAACAGTTAAGAGTCAACCACATTGCTGTGGGTCTGGAGTCACATTGTATGCCAGACCTGGTAAGGATGACAGCTTTCTTCTGGACATTATTGAACCAGATGGGTTTTTCCTGAAGATGGACTTGTAGACACCATTTGGACTCCTAATTCCATTTTTTTTAAAATTGAATTCAAACTTCACCATCCACCAGGGCAGATTTGAACTCAGAATCCCAGAACACAACCTGGCTCTCTGGATTAATGGTTCTGTGATAATACCACAGAGCCATCACCTCCCCTTTGATCTTGACATATCGTGTTGGTACCCTGATGACTGATCAGTTTGTTTTGTCTAGATGGAATGAGGACTACTCTCCTTAAACTTTGAGATAAGGCCATTGAGTTGAATCACATGTTCTGTGTTTGCTGCGTAAGCTGCTGACACATACTGAAGCTGTGACATTGACATAGTACGGTGCTATACCATGACATTTCTGTGTGACCTCGTTCTGAAAGATACAGCAACATGCAAAAAAAAAGCAAGGAAAATTACTGTGGGCATCCAAGTAGATACGAAGGGAGTGAGTGCCAAGGAAACAAGGTTAGATTTTCTGAGATGATCCCAGCTCTGATCTATAGATACATGATGTGTCCTTGCCCATCCACACAAAATGGCCTGACAGCTGCATTGTAATGTTCAGTCTTGGTGCAAAAGAAGTGATGATCTGTTTTCTAGGTGAGCTGGAAATGATGACATTGTCAGACTGGCACATTTTCGATGCCAATCTCTGTAGATGAAGAATGCAGGTTGTCGTTGCCCAGGGAGTGTAGCTTGGGATGTTGGGGGCTGCTGGTCAAACTGAAGGCCCTGAGGAGCAACCAAATTGATCCAGAGCCACCAACTATCAGTTCTGTCTTCATGCCAGGAATTAGTGCCATCTAGTTTCTCTGCAAAGCCTGGGTATAATGATGTGAACCAGCTGGATTTTGTTGGCTACAAGATCCTTGATTAGGTTTGTTAACCTAATAGTGATGGGATACTGGCCTCTGTGCAGTTATTTCACTGGGAAAATAGCAAACTATGTACAAACAAGGTGAGATTAAGTAATAATGAGATGGTGACAAAAATAGAAATTGCTAGAAAAGCTCAGAAGGTCTGGCAGCATCTGTGGAGAGAAATCAGAGTTAACATTTCGGGTCGAGTGACCCTTCCTCAGGTCTGAGTTCCAAGTCCCTCAGTTCTCAGGTAGGGTCGTTCGACCTGAAACGTTAACTCTGATTTCTCTCCACAGATGCTACCAGACTTGCTGAGCTTTTCTAGCAATTTCTATTTTTGTCCCCGATTTACAGCATCCACAGTTTTTTTTTTGGTTTTTAATAATGAGATGGTAATGCTTGCAAATGGGCCTCCAGCCCCTTATTGGCAAAATTCTTCACTCACTTTTTAAAACCTGGTTTGCAAAATCGGACTATGTTTTTTCAACTTTGAGAATCCCCTCTGTCCGTTCCTACCATACTTTACCAACTGAGCCACCAGTGCCTACATTGTTTAGGAGCTGGGAAGATTTCACCCATTAAATCTGTTTCTCTCACCACACATGTTGCCAGCCCTGTGAGACTTCATGCCCTTACTACTTTCTCCTTCCAAAATTTCCCATATTCAAAAGGAGAAGGTGATTTGGCTGCTTGCCAGTGGTTACTTTGTGCCTTTGAAAGTTCAGACAGGGCCTTAAACTGAGTTAATACATACCTTGGCATGACTGGCAACATACTTTTTAAGGCAGTGGGAGGCTGGGCCTATAAATGCCTTGAGCACAACTGCACATATTTGAGTCAGGTATTTAGTTATCACTCACAAATTACACCAAAAGGTATTTCGATTATCTTTGCCATTCCCTGTTACAATGTACGATTTCAACATGACCGAAAATCGAGATGGAAATCATCCACTGAGCAATAACAAGGTTACTGAAGCTCTGATGAAATTTCAGTGTGATTCCTCCAAAATGACTAATTTAAGGGAGGCATTCTGTTGAACCTTACAGTTTGAGGTCTCATTGCACTACTGAAGGAAGCTAAGCCTGAGATAAGATCCTAGTCAAATGGTGCTCCACTGCAGGGAGCCAGCAGTGGCTATACTTTCTATGTGCGGTGATGCTCCATTGTTGATACCTTTAAAGGTTCTCACAGACCGCAGGCTGTACAGTCCACTGTCTCCATGAACCACAAGCACAGAGTTACCATTTATATATTTGCTACATTTAAGATCGTCTTGGTGGTTCAGCGCATTGTAGAATGCATCAAGATTATAGACGAGGGCAGTAAAAGGACTGACTGTCCAAGAGAATGTGTTAGAGTGTCACACAGCCCCTAGCAAGGCACTGCCTGATGCCTGCCAGGGTGAAGCATGATGTAATTCTGACCTGTATTGAATTTACAATCAAGGGAGTAGCCATTCTGATTCATTTATTGTCAGTTATTATACTTTATCATAATATATTGTATTATAACTTTAAACAGTCTGACTAGACATGTAGTCTGTCTTGAGTAAATGGTTCCAAAGAAATGTTTCACTCTTATTTTGTCATCGAGACACTGCTGAGGATTAGGAACTGTCGATAAGTTATGTTGCACAATGTGCAACAACGTTTTCATGGTAGAATGCAATAAAATAAAGATATATAAGGCAGCAAACTGATTTATTGTTTGTTTATATTTGAAAAATAAAAAAAATGCATTCAGAGACCACCTACACAGATGACATGTGAAGGAAGATTGTCCAATCACAGTCTGGACAATAAGTAAATGGTGGCTCCCTTATGATTGAAAACAGCCAAGGGAGGGAGGGAAATCCAGCATCAATTTGACCTTGGCTGTTCTCTCACATGTCTCCTGAGAGTCTGTTACAGAGAACAACTAGCAGGGGTCTGGGAGCAGGCATATTGCCCATGCTATTAGCCTGAAGGAGAAAGCAACATATATTCATCTCAACTGTAAGTTAAAATTACTTTAAAAGTTAGAACCATCTTATCCAAATAGTTGCTTGGTAGTACAGAACTTCAACATTTGCTAAAAAAGTAACATGAAGGTAATGCTTTCCATTTTGAACTCATCAAGATGGACCCACAGAAACCAAACGTCAACATTTACACAGTATGAGAAGAGGGTGCTCATAATTGGTCAGTACAGAGATGCAGCAGGAATAGTCAACTGCTAAGCTTTGTGAAATGAAAATCTCAGACCAGGTGAGTAGACTCTGATTAGTCAGAGTGTTAATGGGAATGTAGCAGAGATTAGCAGTCTCCAGAATTGTTTTCTCACTGAAAAGTGTGCAATGTACAAACATAGATTAGGGTCTTGTGTGCCAATATATGTAGCTTCTATTACACGTAAGTGCATCACATTGCAAGCCTGACTGGCTCATGAGAGGATCTGCATTGTTCCCTGCTCTCATTAGACCTAAACCTGAAGTATTGCATACAGTTATGGGCACCATATTATAGGAGCACGTTGAAGAGAGTGCAGAAACGGTTTACAAGAACGGTACCAGGGATAAGAAAGTTCAGTTATGAGGACAGATTGAATGAGTCTAATTTTTTTTCCTCCTTGTAGAGAAGAAGGCTAAGAGGAGATCTAACAGTGGTTTACAAAATTGTGAGCAGGCTGGGTAGATTAGATAGAAAGGAACTGTTACTGCTGGCAAAAGGAACAAGAATGGGAGAGCATTAATTTAAATTAATTTTCAATTGAAGCAAGGGTGATATGAGAAAAAAAAGCATTTTCCTGCAGTAAGTAGTTAGGGTAGGAATGTATTGTATTGCCTGGAAGTGTGTTGGACACATGTTCAATTGACGCATTCAAGAGGGCATTGAATGATTATTTTAACAGAAATAATGTACAAGGCTATGGCGAAAATGCAGGAAATTGGCACTAAGTAATGATGCTCATTTAAGGAGCTGGTGAAGTACAATGGGCTGAATGGCCTACTTATGCACCATAACATTTCTGTGATTCTGTGGTTAGGCCTCTTAAACGTGTCCAATACATGCAGAATAAAACATAACCTTCAACATTTTAAAGGACACCAAAGCACAATCCAACTAGTTGTCATTCAACACACAAAGGACATTTGAAGTAGTACAGTCTGTTTCTTTCATAACATTTAAAACAGCTACAGTAAACACACTTATCTATAAATAAATGCTTCATCACCTAAGCCGGCACGTCACCAACTCTACTGTTGGTTTTGGCCATGGATTTTGTCTGCCATTTTTCTGACACAGCTTCAGACTTCAGACATGTCACGATTTTGAAAAGCGTTCCTTAAATTTTCTCCCTTCAAATGTCTTTTCTCCATTCGCCATATGTTCAACTTTGCTGCAAGTAGGGAGTGAAGATCTGATCTTGGTCCTGCACTGATTGCAATGCAGGCGGCTGAGGTCAAAGTTAATGTCAAGTAGCCTCCCCATTTTTGAGAACTGGGGAGTGAAAGAAAGCACCTCCTGCAGGCAACTCCTCCACCTGGCCTCTTAGCTGAAGACTAAACAAAGGGAGCAGCTAAAATTTCTCATCACTGACATGGTTCCTTGATGCCCTTTACTCCACATGTCAAGAAAATGTTACACTATTTTCCATTCTGACTGGAATGGTTAGCTATGTTCATGAAACACCATTCTAGGCCTGCTATCTGTAAATCCATGTTAGTTGGGGAATTGTTATCAGTTCCTTCTTATCATGAGTCATTAAGTAATAAAGGAGACTTCAAAGCATCTCATTCAAAGCTAACACGTACCAATGAACTGCAATAATATTGATAACATCCACCTCAAAGTTTCCACGGCACCTGTTATCACTGCACCAGCTCAATAAAAGAGAGCAAAATATGGGGTTTGGATCTTTTCCAAGCCTCGGAGGGAGGATTGGTGAGACTCTTCCCTATTGGTAGCACCAATGATTTGTAAGTTAGGTAGTCCAGTACAATCTTTCACTATCCTGGCACAAAAGTCTTGAGGTCAGGTTTCCAGCATGTTTTACCAATTTGTGGAATGTTTAGAGAACACTAAAGTGCTGACAGCATGAGTTCAACTGTAAAATAGGGAAAGGAAATTAATTTTGTAAGAAGGAAGCGTATTCCTCGTTAAAAGTTTCTGGTTAGTAAGTCCACATTGCTTGCTTACTTGAATTTTTTTTTGCTTCTTTTCTTCTTGAGCAGACTACGGCATGAAAGCTCCAAAGGACTAGCAGTTGACAGGCTCTTTATCCAAATGCCTGTCTTCAGTTTCACATACACCGCCAACCCCCCTCCAGGAGTCCATATGCAACAATTCCGAATGTGGGCCAATGTTGCCTTTTAATTATTCCAGGCAACTGAGGCATGCAGTTGTCATTCTGAGATGATGGGTCACATTTAAGCTTCTCTTGCACTGCGTAGCTCAACACTACACCAGATGAAGGGTCTTAAGCTTGAAGGATGTAAATGTAATCACGTCAAATAGAATGAGAATGCTCATTGTTCCTTCAGGTTTCTCCCCAGACCTCCCTTCATAACAGTCTCTGGATGCGATGCATGTGGTCCTGCATGGGACACAAACTTAAGATTTGATTTTGAGTCTTCACCAATTGGAACTTAAAAAGGGTCAGCAAAAGTTACACAAGAAGCAGCAGAATGAAGTGCCATTCAACATTTCTTCCACTCCTTTGATGAAGAGATTGGCCTCTCCTTAGGAGCTTCTAGCAGAGACAGGTTGATGGAAATTGGTCGATTAAGGAGATGAGAAGTCCAACTCCTGCAGAACTGGGTGTAAATTGCCACAGATCAGTTCATTCAATCCAATGCACAGCACACTTATTGCATCTGTCATTTGATCTTAGTCCATTTCAATTTTCATACCAGAAAGAAAGCAAGTTGTATTATGATGTCCCTCGGGACATCTCAAAACACTGCACATGCATCAAATTCCTCTGAAGTGCAGTCACTGCATTATATAGACAAACACAGTAAAAATGTTGGATATAGCAAGATTCCACAGAGAAAAAGTGAGATTGATCATTGATTTACTTTTGGCTGTCAGGGTTGAAGGAAGAATGCGGACCAAAACTCCAAGAGTATATCTGGCTCTAGTTCAAAAACTGCCAACAAATCTATAACAACCAGTCCAATTTGTTATGCTTCAAAAAGGAGGTGGTGAAGGATAGAACTGGAGCCAAGCTTTAAAGAATCTTTTAAGCATTTATTTACATTTATGCACTTTATAAACATGCACCTCCAAACCCAACCGCCAAAATTTGTTCTTAATTTTGGAGCATAAGTGAATTCTCAATTAAGACTTGTGATTAAATATAATTAGTATACAATTAATACAAAATTCCTCAATATTTACTGTTTTTTTAAAATCATATTTTCACTAGTGTTTGCTCATGAGATGAGGTTGTCATTGGAAAGGCCAATACTTATTGCCAACTCCATGCTATCCGTGAGAGGATGATGGTGGACAGCTTTCTTAATCTGCTGCACTCCATGCAGTGTAAGTTCTTGCATGGCCGTTACATTGGAATTTCCCGAATGCTATTCCAATGACAGCGAAGGAATGTTGAAATATTTTCAAGTCAGGGTGGTCCATGACTTGCAGGGGACCTTGGAGGAGCTTAAATGTGCCTGCTGAGTTTTTCTTCTGGGTAACCGAAGTTGTGAAGGATTGTTGAAAATAGCTTGGTGAATATTGCCAGGCTGATATACGGAGCAGTCCCATTGCAACAATGGTGGAGACTTTGAAAATTTAAGATGGTGGACGGTTGTTGATCAAATAGGCCTGGATTGTGTTGAGCTTCTTAATTGTTGTTGGGGCTGCATTCATCCAGGCAAATGGAAAGTACTTAAGTATTGACTTGTATTTTGTAGGTGGTGGAAAAACTTGTCAACTTATGTTACATGTTCATGTGTAGCATGTTGTTATAGGTACTCAAGTTGGTGCAGCCAAAATATGAAGATAAATTCAACCCACGTCTGGCCACTAACTTCTGGCTGATGATGTAGGAAAGGCATAGAGAAAAGACCTGGTGGGGTACAGAAATCAAAGGGCAGGTCATTTTCTTACATCAGGAACCCAGGAAAAAAGCATGTCAAGGATTGGTGCCACAGAAACTCTCAAAGAGGAAGGAGATAAGATTATAAAGGAAATATTTCAATTGTTAGCAATTTCCTTTTTTTTTAAATTGGCATTGTTACCTTGTGTTAGAGAAATTTAGGATCCTTTCTTTACCATAATAAGTCATAAAAGCAACATGACAGCACAACTGTGTTATTATTGTTTACTTAATATGGTTTTTGTGTAGAGCCTGCAGCTGCCTATTGTGTTGTGTAATTATGGTACATGATGACTTTGTAATGACTGGAATGTGGTTGTTGTGTCTCCACTCGCACGGAGAGCTTGATGAAAAGAAAGGTAATAGGAAGTGAATCAAATAAATACCTTGTAAATACAGTAAGCACAAACGCAAACACAGAGAACAATGTAAATAAAACTCGACCATCATTATCACTGTGCCAGCATCTACATACAGGTCAAAAATAGCAAATGCCATTTCAAGAAAAATTAGTTCCGATGATTTGTCTGTTTGTCTATTTATTACAATTTTGAAAATAAAAGTTTTTTTGGAAAGATTTTGTTTAAGGAGCCCATCTCAGAATGTTTAGCCTTCTGATCAACTTTTTTACTCTGATGCTGAAAGTAGACCTTGAAAATTTACATTTTTTCACTTGGCCTTGACTTGCAGAACTTTCCACTGCTCTACTGAAAACAGAAAGAGAAAATAAGAGTGCGTCAGCAGCTACATGAGGGCTGGTATTGCCAAAAAACTTTATCTTTTAAAAAGAACATACTATTGTAATTGTCCTCTTGTTGCAACACAGTAGTTATAAAATCTCAATATCGAGAATATATGATATTGGGTACAGTTTACCTTCACAAGTCAAATACTGAGATAATGAACAATC